AAAAAATAAACATGTATTAAACCTTTCCTTTTCCCAGGTCTCTCATATTTGCACTGACTCACTATCTTAAAAATTATCAGATAAAGAGGTATGCTTCAAAAATTATTTTATTTTCTAAGGCAAGCAAGCATATTTATATGTCAGATAAAAAGCTTCAGTGGTCATTCCGATGAGGTGGTGAGGAAGATTTGGGAACGCTGCTGTGAGACCGGGAAAACACCTTCGACAGGGTTGAAGTCATTCTCGCCAGCATTTTAGATCTCTGTTTGGAAATACTGTTTTTGGGAACTTCTGTGGAATAGAAAAAAAGAAGTTTGTTAGGTATTTTAATTTACAGTGGTCATAGTAGTGTCTTGAAATTTTATAATTTGACATTTAAAAATACTGTATGATATTCAAAGAACATACACAAAGATTACTTCTTCTTGATACTGGTGACTCTCTTATGAAGCAAACAGTAAGAATGACATCTTCAGCTTTGGCCACGGGATTGTGGCAAGATCAGATATGTGGCCAGGTCATAGGTTTGAATATTGGCCACACTGAGAATATGGTGCTACTTTCTGCCCTTGTGTCGCTACTGCGTCTTCTTTACCTTGAGGATTTTAGTCGGGTGTGCAAAGTCCATCTCTTTTCTAGCAAAGAACTCTCTGACAACGCCTGATAAGCTAAGTGTAAGAATAGATTTCAGTTCTTTGCACTGGGGGTGTCAATTTCAGAATATTCAATTGAAAGCAGAAATCCATTCAAAATGTTTTAATTTCTCCCAGTTGGAAAAGTTTTCTGTTGATTGGATTTACAATTTTTTTTTTGTCAGGTACAATAGAATTGTATAGATAATAACAGTCTCTCTGTATGGATTTTTTAAAATTAATTTTATTGAGAAACAGCAGTGAGACAGTTTCAAAACTGATTAATAGGACAGTATCAATAACCAATACATTGCATATTGTTATCTTCTTAGTGGTTATTCATAGTACAAGATGCAGACTTGATATCCTGTCCAAATACTATTAGTACAAGTCTTCTCATTGAATTAAGAGAAAGTAGCTGTATATCTATCCTAACTATTTTGTATATACAGATACAAAATGCTCCTTCCTTTGTATACCCCTTTTTGTTTAGTTTTGTCAGAGATGGGTATTCCATTACCATTTAAATATTGTAGGTATGTGAATTCAGCAAAACAATCCAATGCAGTCCAGTAGTCCATAATAGTAGTGGGTTATCCGCAGGACTGGCAATGTTTACATTGCTTATTTAGCATACACCAACAATTACCACATATCAGCCTAACAAAATGATTATTTTCTATCTAATGATATCAATGAACATGTATGCATTTTGCTAGCACTTCATGGTAGCTTGTGCCAGGACAGGAAAATATTCATCACATCACATCCCATGCTTTCTTAATTGCAGTAAGTCAGGAATTGTCATACCAATCTTACATATTCAGATTCTCTAGGAGAGTGGGAAGATCTGAAGGGATGACCTGACAAGGATCTAGCTTGCTAGGTGGAAGCTCCCTCCTGTGCAGGGAGAACACCGTCTCCAGAGAGTCACTGGCCCCTGCTCCTGCTGCTGCTTCCACCACTGACTTTGCTCACGTAGCTGCTTCTGTGTGAACTGTGATGTTGGGGACGGAGGTTGTGTCCTGGTCTCACACAGATCTGTGTGTGAATCACAGCTCTTGTTTGTTAGTGATATGGTGACCTTGAAGAAGCTACTGTAAATTTCTTTCTCTTTTTATGTGTTTGGTACAGGGTCTCACTACACAGCTTGGAAATGTAGTGATCCTCCTGTTTTCAGCCTCCCCAGCGCTGGGATTATAGGCATGCACCAGCATACCTGGTCCCCCTACTGTAAATTTCTTCAATTGTTCTTTCTTTAATAAAAGGTGGGTAGCTACGGGCTAACCCATGGTAGTTCTACTATCTGTTGCCTCTTTGGTTTAGGTTAAAGATACACATGATGTACTGAGATGTGGATTTCTCTTTATAAGAATATTACTTCTGTTCCATATTGATAATACACAGTGAAAAGGCTTCTTATCCTGAGATCATAATATCATAAATTTAAAATAATTTGATTAATATTTATCTGTGAAAAGGATAGTGAATTTTATACCTGGAATGATTTCCTTTGAGGGAGACACCTTGTCTTCAACACGCTTGGATTCTTCAAAGATGGAGACAAACTGCCAAGACAAATTGATACATTAACATGGGCTTTCTTTAGGCCACGTATAGAAATACTCAACGTGCAGATCATAATCATCACCACACCTCACATAAATGAAATCTGTTTCCTGCAGTCTCAAATAGTTTTTCTCTGACACATCAGCTAATAAGTTTGCAAATTATGATGCCTAGCATTGGCCCTTCTTATGAAGAGAATGTAGACCCTGTTTGCCCCTATAAGGTGGGCAAGCTCTCTGCCACATTAAGGGTGGAAAATGTCAGCTCTGTCTTCCCACATCTTCCTTTGGATTTACAAATCCTTTTCTGAGAATAGATAACATGGCAAAGGGAGAGGAAAAGGAATCTTTGTAACTCTCAGTTTCTTTTCATGGAAATCTTAGCCAGCATGGGGTCCAGAATACAGTGGCTGTGTGTTCAGGGAGTGCTGGGAACACAGCTCACACATCACTTTTACTCTGTAGACTTGTGGCATTTCTTTGAATACAGGAGCAGCAGATACCTCCTAAAGGCAGAGTGGGAGCTTTTAGTCTATGTAATCTCAAGTCAATTCCAGGTATGGATATGGCTCAGGGGAGACTTCACAAACGTATTTTTGAGGTCCCCTTTTATGAGGCCCCACAATTTCCCTCAGCCTCTGACTCTCAGAAGCCTCTTTCCTAGTGCCATGGCTAGAACACTGTGGCTGTGTTCTTCTGTGTGTGCTATCCCACATTCCCCATGACTACATGCACTGTGATGGCAAAGTGACAAGAGAAAGAGGAGAAAACAGGTTCACCCATATATTTCAGTCTTTTAGGAGCCTTTTTCCTAATTCAGAGAGAATATTTTCTTTCACAATTTTAGGTTGAGTCTTGCTAATCCTTTCTCCCACTGCCATGGCTTCCTGACTGAAATTTGCCTAGAGGTGGGATCAAGGTGGAGGAAATGAAGCCGGGATCGCTCCATCCCAGAAGAACCCCTTTCTCCCTCATCTCAGGGAGCAAAGTGTTTCCTCAGAGCATCATTCTACCCATTCCTTCTGTAAGATCCAAGTTGGAAGCTGCTCCAAGGCTAACCCAAAAAACATGGGAAGAGAAAAAGCTAAGACACATCTCATAGTGTTGGTTGTTGTTTGAGTTCTCATTTCTTGCCCCATATTTCTGCTGCCCTTCATGTTGAGATCATCACAATGCTTTAAGTTGTGGTCAGAGAGGGGAGTGTGCTCACCACACCTTCCTGGGAACCACAGTGGTAATAATGTCAACCATACTTTTATATGGAAAAGGTAACAAATAGAAAAAAGAGTGACAAGAGTGTGGTTTTGCTAGGAATTCAACTTGGCCCCAGGAGCATCCACAGATTCCTAGACTAGAGCCTCAGCACCTGCCCTTCATTGCTGTGTGATATTACTTTTGGAAGTGTGGCCTGCCTGACCAGATGCTTGTATGCATAAGTAAGAACTAGGTCCAGTGAAGCACTGACATGATATTTTGAAAATTTGGCAAAACAGTGTGAGTGAAAGGATTTTAAGCAGCGTTTGCAAATTCTGCTATATTGCAGCATAGAGAAGTAACCAAGGGGTGAACCGTGTGTGTGCGGAGGTAGACAAGCACTGAAAAATACTTGAATTTGGAGCAAAAGGAAGACAAAAATTCAGACAAGAGAATCTGTAACTGATTCCTCCCTGGAAGCTGTGTAAGGAAGGTTAAGGATGAAGGAATTAGGTGGACTCACACCAGATAGGCTTTTTGAAAAGCTATCTGTGAAGAGCTGGTCTTCAGGAATAGTGACACATGGGCCAAATGCAGCCTCATTTCCTGCAAGCTACTCCCTCCACCCCTGCACTGCCACATGTCCACTTCCTATAGCCACCAAATCCTCAGCGTGGTCCAGAGCCCGTGGTTCCCCCTCTGCAAGGTCTCTCTGGAGACTGCAGTAATGAAGCTCAACAGGGGAACTGTCCTTGAGTTCCAGGAGAATCAGTGACTCCTGGAACTACACAAAGTGTAGTTCTGACTACACAGTGACTGACTCTGTGAACCTTCACAAAGAATGCTTACTAACCCCAAGGGCGAGAATTTGCCTCATGGGATCTTCTGAAACCAGGGAAAGGCCTCAGATGGAGATGTGACCGGGCAATATTCCTCAACTAATACCTCAGAGACTCTGATCAGACTGGAAACTGGGCTGCTCTCAGTGGGACCCGACAGTGCAATCACTGGGTGCTATTACAAATATTTACCTGAAGGCCTGTTAGATTATCTGCTTTTTGCTCCAGAGAACATCCTGTGGGAGGAAAAGAAAAATTAAGATTTTTTTTCTAAATTACATGTATTTGTTGATACTAGTCTGATTTTACTTTTCATTTCCTACAAAGAATTATGTAATTTACCTTACAAAGTGTTATCATTAATACATAGAAAATAGGAACAAGGCCAAACTAAGATGGGTCCGATCTTACAAGGCTGGGGAAAATCCTAGCTCTTCATCTAGGAAGTAATGAAAAGGAACTGATGTGCAGGGAAAAGCATATTCTACAACTTGCTAGTTGTATATCTATGCAAAATCACTCGCTCAGTCTGTCTGAACCTTTATTCCCCTAGTGTGGAATTACCCTAAAAATGATGCCCGAGGTCCCTTCCAACTCTAACAAGTTGTTTTAATTTTATTTATTTATTTATTTTTATGTATTTAGTACAGGGTCTGCAGGGAAGCTGTGTAAGGAAGGTTAAGAATAAAGGAATTAGGTGGACTCACACTAGATAGGCTTTTTGAAAAGCTATCTGTGAAGAGCTGGTCTTCAGGAACACATGTCTCTACGTGAGCCAAATCCAGCATTATTTCCTGCAAGGTACTCCCTCCCACCCCTGCACCGCCAAGTGTTCACTTCCTATAGCCACCAAATCCTCAGCATGGTCCACAGCCCCTGGTTCCCCCTCTGCAAGATCTCTCTGGAGACTGCAGTAACAAAGTTCGTCAGGGGAATTGTCCTTGTGTTCCAGGAGAATCAGTGACTCGTAGTGATCTTCCTGTTTTTCAGCCTTCCAAGCACTGGGATTACAGGTGCATCCCACCACACCCAGTCTCATTCCCTCTCAGCATGCCCTGGGAGGCAGGGCAGGCACAGCAGGCCAGGGATTGAATCCCTGGCCCCTAGACTGCCTAAGTAGGTGCTTTAATGTGCTGAGTGTTCTGGTGGGCCCATTTTTTTTCTTTTTAAAGAATACAAAATAGTAATAGGAAAAAATAGACAGCATTAGAAATGATACAAGATTTCACTAAATAAATTAATAAGAATTCAACAGTGGTTGCTGTATTACACGACATTATCTTCAAATTACCAGATTACCAGATACAAATGCATAAGATCCGTTTAAAGAAAAACAAAAGGAAACAGAACAATAACAAAGAAGTTATAAAAAATTCAAAAGAGGAAGAAAAAAATCAGAGTAAAAATAACATGAAACATTAACTGCTCCTTTCAAAACTTTTTGTACATTCCTAATTAAAAGCAGTGAGGTGTCAGATACAGTGATATAGTTCACTTCTGCTGAGAATCAGGAGGTTGAAAGCAGTACTCAGAGGAAATTTGGTGGAACTGCTGCAGAACGGAGTTTGTCTGAGGTTCCAGGGGAAAGGGTCAATATACTGGAGAAAGGAAGAGGTGAAGGAGTTAGAAATGACAGTGACCGAGTCACAAAGACTTCGTGATAAGGGGGCAGAGAACATGCTAGGCAGTCGAAAAGGCCACATTTGAGTCTTAGCTTTGCTGCTTCGAGCTGTGTGAACATTGGCCAATTAAATCTAACTTTTTACTCTCAATTTCTGCATCTCTGGAATAGAAATGAAATTACCTTTCCATGGCTATTTCACAGGGTGTGCAGTGAAATATATGTGCAAAATGTGTAGGTTTTGCACACATATTTATCAACAGCTTATACGATCAATCCCTGAATTCCTCTTTGAGGTTATCAAATTCTAGGGGCAGGGTTAGCCAGAATTTCAGTGAAATATGAGGGAGATTAAACTACCTGACAAAATTAGTAAAATTCTATATCTACTTAATTATATTCTTAGTATCTGAATCTTATATTGCATGTAATTGAACCGACTTTTGCATTTAAATGACTGAATTCCACTAGTTTTTAAATTTCTAGGCTATAGAGGTATCAGACCTCCAGGACTAGCTAGAAAATTGCTTTGATGAAGAGCCACAGAAAAATTACTGATAAAATTTAAGAGACCTCAAAGACTTGGATTTATGTTGTGATTTTGTTGCGTATTTTACAAAATGGAGGACATGTGTTTGCAGCCTGACTTCTCCGCTGAACTCCAAGATTCAAACATCCACTAACCTGGGTTTCTAAAGGGACCTCGATGTGAGCAACCCTAGGTGTCTCCTCAAGGGTCCTTCTGCCTCCTTGGTCCCTTCATGGTATCCTATCTCCCCACCTGCCTTCCTGGACTACAATTCAATAGGTTGTTTGGGGCTGTGAGAAATATGGCTGTGAAGGACAGACAGCTCCCTTCACGAGGCACGCGTTCTAGGGTGGGAAAGGCCAAGTCAAATAACTAAAAAGAAGGCAAAGAAATGCGATAAGTAGTGCTACCACGGGAAATAGCTGGTTTCAGAGAGAGCGTGTGATCTGAGGAGGTCTTCCTGAAAAGTTACGGCTACGTGAAGGTTTCCAAGTGAGGAAAGAGCAGTGAGGACAGAGGGAGAACAACTCCAGGTGCAGCAGCAGGTGTAGGAGACCCCCGGCGCAGGCGTGAGGAGCAGCGAGGCAGCCGGTGAGGAGTCCAGCACTGTGCGCGGCTCCTGCCTAGGTGTTAACAGTCCCTTACCTCAGAGTTCCAAAATCAGGTCGAGTCTGCTGTGCGTCCCCACAGCTGTGGCGCATTCTGGGAATTTGTGCACACTTACTGCTATTCTCAGAATTATCTGTATTACTCTATGGAAAATCTGCATGGAATGCCAAGTCAGGACAATGTTTCTTTTGAAAAAGTCATGATGAAATGGGATTCGAGTTTCAAGAACACAGGACACTACATTTTGAGCATACTGTCATTGTTAGAATTTCATTTATCCTGTCAGCTTCAAACAAACAGAGCACTAACATTTCCTAACAGGTGTTCTAAGAAGTCCACAAAAATAAGTATGTAAGGAGAAAGCAAAGCAGCTCTTCCTGGCTTGATTTAGTTTTAGAAGCCTTTCGTATACTTAGCAAAGCCAGGACATGGCACACAGACGCATGGCTTTTGCAAGAAATAATTAAAATCCAAGATAATGAGTTCTGCCCCAGATATAAACTAGCATGAGAATACACACTACATTTTTTCCTCAGAGAAGCATAATAATATCTATACCACAACATATCTGATACCAAATTCATTAATGCAGTAGTAATAGCAAGTCGGAAAAAGTGAAGTAGTTTGCCCAGTTTACATCTGAGTGATGTAATATTGATCGCCTCCCTGCAGTACACATACTGAAAAGAGAAAAAAATTCATTTCAAATTTGATAACTAAAAATTTATCAAAGGATAAAATTAAGTTACCAAGGCAGGTGCTTAAAATTTCATTTTGAATATTTTCTAAAATTGAAGAAGACATCTAACCTTCCAATATCTTTTTTCTTGGAGAAGTGTCAGAATTTTCATCATCACTGAAACAAAAGAAAACAAATATAGATTTTTGTACTTAATAGATGAAGAAATTACTAGTAAAGCAAAGGAGTAATTGGTTCTTATTCTGAAGGAAACAAAAATGTGTTAGGAAGGGCCAGCCAGATAGCTCAGCACATGAAGGCGCCTGCTTAGGCAGACTCAGGAATTGGGGTTCGAACCCTGGGGAGTGCTGAGATGGTGATTGAGACGAGGCGTGGTGGCGCATGCCTGTGATCCCAGCACTTCAGAGGCTGAAAACAGGAGGATCGCTATGAGTCTGATCTGTGTAGTGAGACCTTGAAGACCTTGTACTAATTAAAACAAAAACAAAAACACTTGATAGGGTTTTGCTGAAATTTCGAACTGTATGAAAATGATTCCCAGTTCGCCTTTTGCAGCTTTAAATCTGTGACTCAATTAGGTTGCCGGCAATAACCATTCTAAGTGCATAGTTTTGAAGGATGATGGATATTCACACTGTTGTGCAACGATAGATAGGTTCAGTGCATCTCAGGAGCATTTCACCTTCCCCACTTGACACTGTGATCGCTAAACATTAATGACTCATTCTCCACTCTCCTCACCTACTGGAAACCACTTTCTGCTTCTATGAATTTCACTACTAGAAACATCCTAATAACAGACTAATACAGATTCTGACCTTTTAAATTTAATTGCAATTTTCATAATGTCATCAAGGTTTTGTTCCTCTTGTAGTGCATCTTCCTTTGACATGGTCTTGGGCTGCTTCCGCTTCCTCTAAGGCTGTGAAAGGTGCCACTGTGAGTAGAGGTAGGTGTATACCTATGCCAGTCACTGACTTCAAAAGTTATTTTCGATGCACACTCAGAAGTGAAACTGTGGCACTGTTCTACATGTTAACTATCTAATTTTGCGAGGCAAGAACTGTTTTCTGTAGCCACTGCACCATTTTTTATTCATATCTTCAGTGCATGAGGGTTCCAGTTTCTTTTCCCCCTTAACTAGTGCCTGCTATTTTCTTTCCTTACTCTTCTTCCTTCCTTTCCTTTTCCCCCACTAGCTGTCTCAAAGAGTTTCGAAGGATAACTCCTTGTGGTTTTGATATGCGTTTTTCCTGATGATTAGTGAGGTTTAGCCATCTTTGGCTGTTCAGCTTCTTTGGAGAATTTTCTATTCAAGGTGCTTGTACATTTTTTTTCACACAGATTGTTCTTGCTGTTATTTTTGAATCATAGTTCTTTAATATTTCAATATTAATTCATTACCAGACAGTTTGCAAATACTTTCTTTCATTCCAAGTGTTGACTTTTCACTCTTGGATAGTGTCCTAGTCTGTGCTTTAAGCACAGAAATTTTTAATTTTGATACAATAAGCTTGCCAATTTTTCTATTCTTAGATGTACTTTGGTATCATATACAAAAAAAATACTGCCAATTTTAGTGTCATCAAGCTTTTCTCCTGCACTTATCATAATTGTTATCTCTGATGCTTAACTGTGATTCCTTTAGAGAATGTTTTTATATGATATAAAGTAGTTGTCCAACTTCTTCTTTTTTTAAATCATTATTTTTTAATTTTAATTTTATTTTATTATTATTATTATTATTATTTTGCGGTACCAGGGATTGAACTCAGGACCCTGCGCTTGCCAGGCAAGTGCTTATCCAACTTCATCTTTTTTGCTTGTTTGTCATTTTCTTTTTAGCTATTTTGTTATTTTGAGGTCTAATTTTCTTTGAGATTTTTATATATTTGACATATTTAATCCTCTTTCAGGGCTTTAGCTGGCAAAATCTTATAGTCCATAGGCTGGCTGATTTACTGATTGCTTTCTTTGCTGTACAGAAGCCTTTTAATATAATACAATACCATTGGCTAATTCTTGATACTATTTCTTGTGCATTCAGGGTTTTGTTCAGCAAATATTTGCCTATGCTTATGCCTTCAATTGTTTCTCCTTTTTATCTCCTAGATGATTCAGCATTTCTGTTTTCATAGCTAGGTTTGTTGTGGTTTAAAGCTTAATGTCCCTCCAAAGCCTCCTGTGCTCATAGGTGAGGCCTCTGGGAGGAGATCTGCTCTTGGGGGCGTGGTCATCACTCATGCTTGAATGAGTTTACACCTGAACCTGTTCCTGGGAAGTGAAGCCAGGTCTGAAGAGTTGGCCACTGGGGACGTGGCCTGCAAGGGTGCATTTTTTCCCTCTTTGCTTAGTCTTTCTCCAGTTCTACCCCTCTCGTTCTCTCTCTCTCTCTCTCTCTCTCTCTCTCTCTCTCTCTCTCTCTCTCTCTCTC